ATCAGGTCCTGAAGTCAACAACACTAAAAATGGGGGGCATGGAGAAGAGGTAGATAAACCTTTATTCTTAATGGCATTGTGGAACTGGCTTGATTGTTTTGTGTTGCTCCTTCCTCCTTTGTTTTTTGGTTTTTTGTTTTTTGTTTTGATTGAAATCTCAATACAGATTTGCTTGCTAAAAATATATATAATATTACACAGTGCTGCATTGAAAATAATTTTCCTAGTTTTCTACATAGAAGGATGCTACTGAGGAGGATTTATTTCTGGAAAGAGTTCTCCATGCTGCTATTTAAAAATAAAAAAGGCTGTAGCAAATTTTAACGAGCCTAAAATGTCAGTGTGATTCTGCAGGCATGAACCTCTCAGTCCCCACGTAGCTCAGTGTTTTTGGTTCACCCAGTTCTACATCTCTGTACATACTATTGGAAGTCAGTCCTTCAACTTTCTGAAAGGGTGGTCAGTGTTTTCCCATGCATAAACTGCACTGCTGAGTCTTAAGAACAGGAGCAGGACTTAATGTAAGAGAAGCAGCAGCAGAGCTCTGGATATGGAGTGGCTTTTTGGTTTGTTTTTTCAGGTACTTCCACAACCAACCACCACCCCCAACCTGTCCAAGCTTGCAGTAGGATTACTACAGGGCAGGATATGCCCTCAGGGCTGCCGAGAGGGCTAGGGAGGACACCCTCTGAAACATTCCCCTTGTGAGAAGAGAAATGTGAGAGGGCTAGTTGAGAAGTAAGGAAATGATGTAAAAATGGTTCTTTGAAAAACCAATGTTAAACCTTTTGACACCTGTGCTATGGGACATGGTGACTTTCCCACATCCAGATTCTGATGTTCTATAAAGGAACGTAATTTAAATAATTTTCTTACTTCCTGTGTTCTCGTTTTCATGTAGAAAATGCGAAGAACCCTTGCATTTATCTAAATAGTAATGGTAAAGTGCATTTAATTAAGTTCTTTGATATAACTTCATTTCAGAAGAGAATAATGTGGAACAAAGGTGAAAAGCATCCTTCAAAGAAAAGGTACTTTCTAGTTTCTAAGTCCCTGAAGGTTGTTTTTCATGTCCATATGATATAAGTGAACTGTCAAGAGATAGATGACTTGAGTTGTACATGTCCTTGAATCTGTGTCCAAGTAATCTTCTCTTAAATCAGTGTCTCTATTTTGACTTGATAATGATTTTTGAGGACCTGTGCACAAGAACAGAGAAAGGCAAGTCTAACATTAGTAATTGCTGAAAGGGAATCCCCTATTTTGGAGGGAAAAAACCAGGGAAAGTCAAGACTATGAAATACTTAATAACATTTAATAAGTTTTTTTGCTTGTTCTTTCTAAGGCCGTAAACTTGTACAAGAATCCTTTCAGGAATTCTGCAGCACTGGTTCACATCAGCATCTTTGGTGTAACTCTGAGAACCCGAATGCAAGCAGTTAATTCTTCAGAGTGTACGTGGGCTTATTCTTAGTGTGGAAGTAAAAAAAAAGAAATAAGTAGGGAACTAAAAGCTGCTGAAATATTTAGTTTCTTTGCCCTGACTGCAAGTCTGTGAAACGATTTTTTTTTCCCTAGGCCTTGTTATGCAACACAGTTGCCTGAAAGAACCTGGCCTACAAGTCTTGATTACTGATTTTCCTACACGCTTAATCTTTTCCAGGCGTGCTTTGATAGACTTAATGTTTCTGCTGAGTTGGTAAAGTTTCAGAGTCATCAAAGCTGCATAAACTCATACCTATTCAGACTAATGCCTTTAAGTAATCCTCTAGCAAGCTCTAATTCTGAGAGATGATATATTTCATTTTTATTGTGTCCTCCAGGTGTTTTTTTTTAATTTTATACCCAGAAGGTGCAACCAAAAGATGACCTTTACTGTCACTGTCAGTGAAAATGACTCTTGTTAGTTTAAAAGCCATATGATCCTCTGATAGGAAGTCTCAAACACCTTTCCCATGAGATGTCATGGCCCTGTGCAATTTATTGCTAAATGTTGCCATCCTAGTGCTTTCTCATTACCTGCTGCATAGTGTAAAGATGCTAGTGGGCGTTGTGGGGCAAGATCTACAGAATATTTTAGAGAGAGACAAGATAGGAATTTAATAACTAATTTTCTTGCTTCTAGTGTACAGTTCATAAAAGCATTTCAGTCCAGCCAGGCAGCACAGTGCTGTTCATGCAGAGTGTGAGAAATAATCGATCGCTTAGCTTGGGTGATTTGAACTTATCCTTGAGTTTACTTTACTTCAGCATCAAAAGCTCTCACTATTATGCCATAAAGACAGAGAACTGCCTTTAACATAGACATTAATCTGCTTTCTCTGCACCTTTGCTCTACTTGTGTCCTTGAGGTTGTTAATGACTGCTTATGCAAGTTTTGCTGACTTCCCTGTGCACTGGAGGCCTTGCAGTCTTACTGGTTCTAAAGCAAGGGCATAAGGTAGCTGAGAGTTTCTGACCTGATGCTTATGGAATGCACCCATGAAGCTGATAATTAGATGGTAGCTATTTTAAACAGATTTACAGACCAGTTTTAACCTGGGAAAAAATATCTCCTTTGTTTTGATGGAAATATTTTTATTACTTTGTTTTCCAGTAGTTGAGTAGAAAGAAACCAGCTTCACTTTCACTTTAGTGGAATCTTGTCCAGAATCTACAATTGTGTAAATATTTTTATGGCATCCTTTTTCACGGAATAGTTTAAGGATGACATGATTTTTCCCCTTTACGTTTCTCATGAGTTGTCAGTCTTAGACCTCAAGCCTACAAGCAGACACGAAGATTAAAGTGAAGTCTTCAATCTTGTCTTGAAGGCTAGTCAATACATGTTTTATTTCCACTCTGAAGCTTCATGGAAGAGTTTTTGTGATTGTCTTTTTTTAACACTTGATTTTTTGAAGTGCGTCAACAAGAACAGTCAGTGAAGCAAAATCCTGTCTATTTCTACTGTTGAGTCAAAATAACGTCAAATTAATTTCTAACTGTCGTTGTTAAAGGTATGCACACTGATCACTGGCTATATTCTTTGCAGGTTTTTTTCTTTCATTGAAAAATACTCTGGAGAAGGGTATTGTTAGCTGAAAGGTGGTTACACATAGTGTGAGTTGAGGATGAGGGATTGCATCTATACAAGCTTCATTGGGTTTGAGAATTTTTCTCTTTTTGTAGGAGGGACAAAAAATGTCAAGGATTTTGTTTTTGGCCAATAATGTCACCACTGAGGTACATGTAAAGTATTTGCTGGTCAGTATTAAGTGCCTTGTGACAAGCTTGAATTCATTTGGCATGCAGATGGGGAACAGATGCCTTTTGAAATAAAAATATGGAGAAGAAACTATTGTCTTCAAACTTTAAAAGGTCTAGTGTTATTTTTTTCCCACCTGTTTTATTCTTTGGCAGGAGAGTATCTCTAGAACCTGTTGACTGCTATGGTTAACATTCTTCCCTCCCAGACTGTGAACAGAGCAAACTTGAATGTTTGTTTTAAAGTAGCTTTACCAGCTTATGCTGCATTTTAAGTCTGTTTTTTTTTTATTTTAGTGTTTTGGCAGGCAGAATCCTCTCTTGTAGTAGCAGCCTGCACAGATCAATCCGTTCTTTTAGTCTGCATTTCACATTAGCCATTCAGTTACTGAATAACACATCTCCCTCATAGGAATTCCCCCCTGTATTTTTCTGTTTTGCCCTTTCTCACTCGTCCAAACTGTAAAACAGTATGTTTCATTTTTCTGAAGATTCTTCAAGACAAAAGCCAAAGTGATCCTTACTATGGATTTTCTGAATTTTCATTTGAATGTGCAAATGCTACTTGGTTTGCCTCACATGGCAGCAAATGGATTGAAGCTGAATCTGGAGTTGATGGGGGAATATACCTAGATTTTTTTATTCTCTATTGCCTCATTTTTGGAGAAAATCAATGGACAGGAAAGACAAAATGTAGATGCTTTCAATTTGGTGACAAGTGACAACTGAGAATTCTCTTGCAGCTGAGATGACAAGAGAAAAAAATGAGCAGGTATGTCCCTGTTCATCCTTAACTCTCCCCCATCCTCCAAATGCATGTGGGCAGGGAAGAGTGAGGAAGGAAGTCAGTGGAGAATATACTCTTTGTTACTGATGTACTTTGCTGAAGTTGGCACGGTCAGTCAGTTCTCCCTTAATTCCATCATCACCAGACTTGCTCCTGTCAAGAACAACCAGAACAATGTTCTGTTTTATTTAAAGGCTGATACATTATTCCTTACATGGTCTCCTTTCATTGGAAGGTAACATTTTCTAGTCCCCACACAGCATTAGCAAATTCAATGTTGTCTTTATAATCTGAAAAGCTGATATGCAGTTGCCACTTGGTGGTTTGGTGTGCCATAGGGATTCAGCAGAGAGACAGAATGTTGCATCCTTCTATGGCAGGGGAAGGAATCCAGATCTAGTATTGGTCTCTCTTCAGGGTCTACCACTGCATTGTTAAGGGGTTATTTGTCAGAGTATAGTTACAATATATTGTAAGGGTATTATTAATAGATGTTAGCTTACAATTGTGCCATAAAAAAAGGTGGGTTTTGTTGCTTTGGGTTTTTGTGTGTGTCTATAAACCAAGACCAGAGGACTTAAAACTAGAAAGGTCTTTGTTATAGAATTGAGGTAGATGTAAAACTTCTTTTGTGTATCAGTTACTGTGCAAATGCAAGTTCGAAGGTACATCAGGTACCCAGAAAATCAGAACCAACAAAAGAAAATGATCAACACTGATTAAATGAAAAAGTGTTGGTAAGCTTTCTCTTTGGAGATAATTTCCCTCCCTCCTGCTGTGTGCACCTGTGGAAGGGACACACATTTCTCCCAAGGGCACTTGTGTGGGATACAACCTGTTGTGCCCTCTGAAATAGGTGGGGTTTGTGAACTATAGCATTGCTACAGGGAAAGGATAGTAGGTTGTGTCTGGATGCTGTACTTGCTTGTGTAGAAGCATTCTCATATGTTTTGGTGTGTTTGTCTGCTGTATGTTCATCAGAGTGGAAATAAATCGGTGTTGAGGGGAAGAGGGAAAGAAGCTAATTCTGGGGTATTTTCTGTAAGAACTCTTGTTTTGTGTGTACATATGCACTAAACTTTCAGAGGAATCAGACTTGGCTTTTCACACCTGGAACTGCAGAACCAACACCGTGCAGGTAGAAGAGATCTGGCTGATTTTGCTAGTTGAGTATTTGGTACGTCCTTTCTAATTTTTACATAGTTTACTGCAGAAACATGCTTTGTTTTAGTATAGTGCTTTGCATAGTCTTAAAGCAAATAGTAAAGTGCCTCTGTAGCTGTGTATGCTTTTATATCATTTGTGGTTGCCTTTCAGGAGAATTCCTTTATAACTAAAATAAATCAAAATAGATTTGAATTTACTTTTCTGTCAGCTGTTTTTTGACTATGACACAGAACAGAGAAAGAAATCTGGCTTTAAAAAAAAGGCAGTGACAGCTGTTTCTTCCTATTCTTATTCAACTCTGAAGATAAACTTTCTCATGGTATGTTTATTTATTTTTTTTCCTGAAGTCTTTATAAGAACAGGGGTTGAACTACTGGTAGAAATTTTTGAGTCCCATAAAGTGGCAAAGATGGCAACTCCATTAGAGTGGATCAGGTTATTTACAGACAGCAGCTTAGTCTGCAGAGGGTAAATTCCAATAAAAGGATTTGATTTGATTTGGCACAGGTAATAACTACCTGTACTGTCTTGTGGTAAGAGTAATTTCTACTAGTGCAGGTGAGGTTTTGGATGTACGGAATCTGTACTGAAAAGTTTTGGAGAACTGATAATGTGAGTGAAGTAGGAGCTGTGTTGTTGTGTCCTTTCACTTTCTACTTAGAGATTGTATTCTGGTCTTGGTTCATTTTTTAAAGATTATTTCTGATGAGTTCTCTTATCGTACATTGCTTTTGCCTGAAAAGCAGGCTGCTGTATTAGGTATATGGCAACTCTCTTGGGATGATACAAGATTGCTGACGTCTCAGACTAAGATGTGTAAATTAAAGATCATCACAGATTTCCCGATGGCACTTTGAAACTAGCCAGGAATTTTTTTCAGCTGGTTCAGAGAGATGGTTCCTGATTTACTTAGGTTTCTGTGGTCTCTGACTGATATCTTTTACTGTGTATTTCTCTCCTGCAAAGTAGTCAAGTTCTAGGCAGACAATTAACAAAACAATTCTTCTCATATGTGGAGGTGTTGAGGAAATGTGCATTACTGTCCTTTGGACCTTAACTTGTGGCCTCCTGTTGGTGTTGCCTAGGTCCTAAGATCTGTTTAAAAATTGATTATGCTGACAAGATGTCATTTTGTGAGGGAGCATTGCCCTTGGGACAGGAGGAAAACTGCTGTCCTAGTTCTAACACTTTCTATTTCTCTAAGAGACTCAAAAATGTGCAGAGAAAGATGAAGGAAATAGTCTTTTTTACAGTGTGTTTGTACTGAAGAGGAACACTAGTATAGTGTCTTTAAAAATATGTACGTGATGGTAAAGTAAATGTTCACCCTTAAAAATTTCCCCTGAAGTGTGGTATTTATTCAAGTGGGAGCTTTTTATTGTGCTTATTTACAGAAATTAGATTTTAAATTTTTACAAATAATAACTGTTTACAGTGAAGGCTGAAGAGACTGTGTGTGCAGAGAGAAAATGGATAGCCCAAGGAAATGATCGGATGATATGTTTTCAAAGATTGGCATAAAGAGAAGTCAGTTCAATTTTTTTTTTTTTTACTGTGTCTGTAATAGGAAAGTAGCAGCAGTAATCCAATATTCAGCTTCTTGGCAGGGCGAAACAGAAAAATAAATTGAGATCTGTTACTGCTAAGTAATGAAGAGTGAGAAGCACATGCATGCTGCATAAAACTGTGGCTGTTCAAAAATGAAACAAAATTATTTTAACTTCTTGCCTTTTTTCTTTGAAATCGGTACTAATTAATATCAAAAAGAGTAACAAAAAAATTCATGGTTTTCAAATATGTGAAGTTCTTCCATCATTCTTTTATTGTTAATAACTGTTATTGTTAATGCTGATGGTATGTCCTTCCTGCCATGCAGTGAGAGCCCATTTGGGGTCTGCCGAAAGAACCTTCAGATTATCCTCTGAATCAGAGCTTGTTTTGAGGAATCTGGGGGTGTCCTTTGTTCCTAGCAGCAAGCTGCTCAAGACCTGAGAAGCAAGGAAAGAGATACTGTGACTGCTGTGCTCTTCATTCCTTGCTGTGTGTACCAACACTGTGTGTTGATTTAACTCCCGTCTTTGGAATGGGGACAGGCGTTAGCTTCCTGATTTGTAGCACCAATATGTAGAGCCAATACAATAAAATGACCTTTTGTTAGATATTGTCATTTTCTCTGACATGATTCACATCACTTGACTGGGACTTAGAACAGTCATAGTCCCTAGAGTCACTGAAACCCAAAAACCTTTGCAGTGTGTGTCCCCACAGCAGAACCACAGAGATGTTCTTCCTTTGGCAAGGGGAAATTTCAGTAGTTGTGAGAAGTACACATTTTCCAAAAGAAAAAGCTGGATTTTTTCCCTGTTGGCTCCTCAGATCTTTGAAAGTGATTTTATACTTAACTGATGGCTTTTGCTTTCTTCGTGCTTCCTTCAGCAAAAGATGGCACCACAAACGCTAAGCAAGTAGATCTGCAGTTTTGTTGTGTCACCGTAAATTAGTGCCGTTTCGGATAAGAGGAATGTTCTGTTCCTACTTTATCTTCAGTAAGAGTTCAGCTATAGAATTTGTGGCCTATTTTTTAATAATGAAAGTCTTAATGTAATACTACACAGTGTTGCCTCACCAGATCAAACCATTTACTTTAATTGGGAGGCAATCTCTGGGTATAACCCTGGTGATACAGAGAGGAGAAATTGCACGTTCTTTAATGTAACTTTGTGTTGCTTTGCGTCATCTTAGAAACTCGTCAGCGATGAGAGAAGATCCTGCCTGTGGCACTAATTGTATATTCACATACAAATTATGGTAATGACTGAAGAACTGTGATTTTCTTATCCATATCTCTGCATTTTATAGCAGCATGTAATTAATAGCTGAAGTTTGAGCCCTATGCTGAGGGCTACTGGTTTGGTTGTTGATAGTATGTTTTAGAGCAGGGAGAACAAGCTGTGCAGTTCCCTTAGCTGATATTTTTTTTTCTGTCATGGCATTTTTAATACTGACCCATCCAGGAAACCAAGTGCCCCCAGAAATAAGGGTTGTTCTGATGTCAAGTTCTGTTTAATTCATATTTAATGTGTACCTTTCTAATGAGACCTCTTCTAAACTGTGGCCTTGGGACCAATAAAGCATTTTATCACTTAATCTAGAAAAAGCTTTTAATAGTACAGACAGAAATAAAATACAGCTGCTAGGCTTTAAACTCTAATTTCAGGCAGAAGAAACGGAGGGTTTACTTGGATAACTTCATAACTATGAAAATACTGGGTAGAGAATACTTAATTACCAGGATGTGCCAGATGGAATTATACATAAGGATTATACAATCTGGTGGTAGGTGTAACATTCGTTGACTGAAAAAAAAATCACAGATAAGTTTGCCTATGAGATGCTTACTTCGGTTATTTAGGGTGTTTCTTGCTTTCAAATGCAGGGATATAATTTGAGATACTGCTTAAGCTAGTTGAGAAAGTACAAGATTTTTTTTTTTGTTACTAAAGTAAAACTGCATAGAAGCAGAAAAGAGAGGACAATTTGTTTAGATTAGTAGAACGATGGGGCAAATGGAAGAAATCTGTAATCTGTCTTTTGTAAGCTGATGCCTATTTCCTGCTTCAGAGGGTATCCTGGGATGGCCTGGCCCCAAGTCACACTCCACAGAACAGCTGAAAAATGGTGCCCTCAGCTCCTTATCTTCTGCTAGTGCCAACATTACATGGGCAATAGTACCATCTGCAGCCCAGGATGGACAGGCACTACCACCAAATACAGAGGTAAGCATGCTTGGTCTCTGGAGGTCATTGGTTAGATGCAAACCATGTGTGATGGTGGATGCTTTTATTAATTATTGTACTTTTGTGTTTATAGTATCCTCTTTGTTTGAAATTAGTTATTAAAATGCTGAGTTTCATGCAAAAGTGCACTCTAAAAACTTGAAAAATATGTTGATGTTGCTCTGTACTTTTACTTCTCTGAGGTACTTAGGTCAGTGAACTCGGGCAAATGTACAGTCTTTTTTCTAGTAGTAAAAGCAATCAACAGACTGTCAGTACACATTTCTGTCTCCTGGTGACTGTTTTGGATGAAAAAGGCTGTTTGTTTTTTTATTCTGGTTTGAGATAGACAGGAGACACTATGACCATGATATTTGCTTGCTGCTTGTTCTTCCATGTTTCTGTTTGTTCTTGGGATGTCTCTTGAGATTAGCTGACTATTTTTTGAGTTGCACAGCTATATTATTTCCTGATCCCTTTTCCTCTTAAGTGATTGTGGGCAGAATTTGTCCACCTCATCCTGCACCAGCCAGTTGATTTTGCACTTCTGTGGCATTTACTTGGTAAAGGGCAGTTCTGAAGCGTCGGCTCTATGAGGAGACTCACAGCTGCGTGTAGGACATCTCATGCACTGAAAATCTCTCACCATGGCAAATTCCTCCAGCTTTGGTTACCAGTGCTGCCCACCAGGAAAACACTTCACTCTGAGACCCCTATTATAGGGCACCTGGAGCACATGAGACCCGGAGAACTGAGAAGAAGTTTTTGAAAGAGCTGAAGAAACCAGTTTCTACTGGTGAATGCTCTTCGCAGTTGGAATAGCTTGAATTAATTATATCACTTTGAATAAAATGTGTAATAGCTGGGGACATCAATAAAGCTGTTTTCCAGTTCTTTTGTAGTATCTTGAATTGAATATAGTTAAAAAAAAATCAAGGATAAACTAAATTCGGGGTTTTTTTATGTTGAGTGTTACTTTGGTCTTCTGTCCTTAGAAAGTAATTTCAAATTCTGTTACTCCTAGTGTCCATTAGCAAAATGTTTAAATTACCTATAACTGCTTTTATTAGGAAGTTGTGTAATTTCTTTTTCAGATAAGCCAACTGTAGTTCTTAGTGTTTTTTAAGAAAAGAGGCTATTTAAGATTATTGTTCTGAGGGTTCCCACTTACTGATACACTTTAAATTGTGTCATTAGGAATTTTTTTTTTTCCAATTTTTGATCACCTGCTGAAGCCAAATGGGTTGTGAAAGCATGGGCTTTGCAGCAAGAACGTAAAGAGCGGCAGCTGATTTAATTCATGTCAAGGTATCATTTTGCAGTTGAGTTGAGCCATTTATGACTTGTTTCAAATGACCATATTTTTTTTTTTAAGTCCAATATCCTCCCCTTCACTTGCTGATGAGAGACACTGAGTTGTGTGTGTGGCTTGAGGTACTGCTTTGCTTGTGGAAGTCATGATTCATGGATAAGGGAGTATAAGCAAGGAAGTGTAGCACTATTTATAGTACAGAATCCTCAGTGCTTTGTGGGCAGTCTTGCTGAAATCAGCAGCCTGCATGTGGGGGCTCTGGGACACTAGCCATTAAAAAAGAAGAAAAAAGCAGTGGAGGAGAGAAAATAAGATTTTTAAGCTGCAAAAAGCTCAACTCACGATGGTGTTTCTGGCAGAAGCAGTAAGTGGAAGTTTGTAGATTGGTGGAGCAACAACAATTATCTGGACTCAGGCATGTAGTTTTTGTTCTGCTGTAGTACAGCTTATTAAGCAGAAATTTGGGATTGCCCTGACAAAGTGGCCTGAACCAGGATTAATTCTTGGAAGCTCTTTCCAAACCTGCATCTTTCCTTACACCGAGGATGCTCTCAGAGCCAGGTAGTAAGCCAGGATATAATGTCTGGTACCACCAAAGTTATCAAAGATGTTTGACTTAACATACTTTAACAATTCTGTGTGCAAAATTTGATCATATATTAAAATATATTGTGGCCTGTTTTGTGTCCAAGGCAGGAGCTTAGCTTTGCCAAACACTAGCCAGGTATAAAGGTATAAAAGCACTGTCTGTGCTGATTACTTAATATGTGCAATAATACATAAAAGCAAATGCACATCATCACACTTGTTTTGTAGCCCAGATACTTTGTTATCAGTAACAGTGGTGACATCAGCAGAGAATGAGAAAATGCTTCTAGATGTCATTGATTGACTCTTTTGACATTGAAGGCCCAAATTTTCTTTTTTTTTTCTTTTTTTTTGTTTTTCTTTTTTTTCTTTTTTTTTATCTGACAGCTTTTTTTAGATGTAGAAGAGAAATCTGTAAGTGTCAAAAAAATAAGCCTTGCTTTTGCAGAAGTTATGAGAAGAGAATGCTAGTTCCTGTATTGGTGCTATCAAAATTAATTCCAGTCTCTTCTTTGACTGGGCCTAGATTTTTATTTAAAATAATCTGTGCTTTTTATGCTATAACCTCTACCTCTTAGTTAGAAGCTATACCCCAAAGGAATAGGAGAGAGCTTTTTGGCTAACTCTCAGTGTAATATAGTAGATGTACCAACCAAACAAATTGTGAATTGACCTGTGGTCTGAAATAGAAAAAGCCATTAAGTGGCTACCCTTGAGGGGCAACAGACACAGCTGTTTATATTGCAGAATGTTATTTATAAGGAAAAGATAATTTGAGGTATGTGGATCAGCAGTGTTTTGAAACAGAAACAGAGATGTTACACTGGGGCAAGGGGGGCTGACTGCTGAGGAATCTTTCCCATGTAGCTGTCTGCCAGTGGCAGCAGTTTCCTGGCAACATGACCAAGTGGCTGAGTGTGTTTAGTGATAACTGTGCTAATTCTCAGCTCAATGTAGACTCTTTGCAGCTGTGCATTAAGTGGCATCATGAACAAACCAATGACTTGTTTTCTGCCATGTTTTATATATGTTTATGGAGAAGTGTGGATCTTTATAATCCTCCTCTGGAATAACCAGGTTCATCTAATGCAATTTTCTTTGAATACTTAAACATTCTCGAGGGATGTAGTAAGTTCTGGAGCTGAGTTTTGATGCTGTAGGTAACTAAAGTAGAACCTTTCTTTTTGGTCTGTCAGGCTGTCAGGAATGAAGAGTTTCTCCCCTGGGAAAATAATGTAGCAGCTAGAGATTATTCTCTTTAGATAATATGTAGGTGTTTACTTGCTTTGGTTATTTAGGATGTGTTTTGCTTCCAAATGCTGGGATATCATTTGAGATACTGCTTCAACTATTCCAGAAAATAAAAGAATTTGTGCCAGAGATTACTTTCTTGTGTGTTCCTTGCCTATTTTGCCATATCCTTTTTGGATGTTGCTGCTTCACCTTCCCAGATCAGGTTATTTTCAGGGTTGTGATTAGGACAGTATGAAGTTAAAGCCTGTTATCTTCACTGAAAGAAATAACCCCTGACAGTGAATTTCTGGGTCAAGCACTTTTGTCTTTTATTTTCCATAATTGTAAGAAAATTTTTATAAGTCTATGAGTTTTAGTCAGTTTCTTTCTTTTGGTTATGTTTTTTCTTTTTGGTCTGTCCACCTGAAACATCAGGTGGAAGGAAGCAGGGTGAGGGCTGACCTGAACAGACCTATTCTCCTTTTGATGTGAGTTGATGTAAAATACTTCTGAGCATCCCCTAGTGAGCCAATGTGGACTTTTTGGCATAAGCTGTTTTATATTTTTAAGGTACTTCTTCTTTACAGCACAAACCTAGTGTGGAATATGTCAGAGTACACTCTTCAGAGCTGTGACATGAACTTGGTTTGTGTCCAGTCTGCTTCCTTCATGTCAGGGTTAATAATTTTGAAAATCCTTTCAAGAAATGCTGAAATGGATTAGTTTTAAAACATTGATTGTCATAGTAAATTCAGTTGTAATAAACTTGGTGCCAAAGTAGAATAAAGGTGTGAATCACTCCCATATGTGAGCTACTGTTGCAGTTCAACTAATTGTCCTTTTGGGTGTCAGAATTCCCCTTCTGAGCTGACAAAATGTAACTGCAGGCCAAATGCTTCCCCTGACAGCCAAACAGAAATGGGTAACAGGCTGTTCTTACGTGGGATCTGAGAGGGAAGGAATAATTTTCTTTTGATCTAGCAGTTTAGTTAAGAATTATTTTAAAAATTGTGCTGTAGCTACATCTGTGATTTAGCTCTCTTCATGTGATTTTTATGCCTTAAAATGCCATGTCAGCTGATTCTTTCCATCCTGTGGATTGGGTACGTGTGCAGTCTCTGCTTTCCTGTCCCTAACTTTCCCTTGCTTGTGTGCATGAGCAGCTGTACGCGTGCTCCGTATGGAAGTGTCTTTTTAATAGGATTGAAGTTTTAGCTCTGTAGGATTGAGCCTTTAGCTCTGATTATCTAACTCCTAAACCAGGTTTTAATTGTGATAGTGATTGCAAGGGCAGTCAACTCCAGGTTATTAAAGATATTTTGGTCCTCTAGATGATCTAAACCTTGATGTTTTCAACTCTAAGAGGGAGCTGTGCTGTTTAGAGGTACTGAATTTGTTTAGTTTCTAATTTTAAAAATCTGTGTGTTTTTGTCCAATTTCCTCAGATGATAGTTTCTTTCAATCTGTGTTTGCTTTTTTATCTGCAGGTCAGTATATATCCTAATATGACTTCAGACTTTAGAGCTATTACAGAATGTGTTAGAGAGGCTAAGAACTAATTTTTAAAATGCTAATGCCGTTTCAGAAACTAAGCTAGATACAAGAAATTATTTCTAATTCAATATTGTCTCTTCTGTATTTATCTGTCTCAGCAGACTTAGCCAGGTCTGTGGATTTTTCCTAGTGCAATTTGTTCCTAATGTTTCCTAGTTGCTTTTTGTACTTGACATAAATCTGTGTAATTGACGTTGGGAGATGAGTTTAGCCATGAACATACAGTGCTTGCCACAAGTGCAGTAATGGAAGGAGAACAGATCAGGGTGGGAATGTAACATTTGCAGTATTACAGAGTCCCTTTTCACTGTTC